GCAAATACACCGCGACAACCATGCCACTGAGTTGAAAGCAAGGTGGCGCCTCACCTCAAAGAGAAACACGTCCCATATCCTGAGAGTTGTTGCAAACGGGAAGCTGTAGGCGAAGACGGTGATGAACCACTGAGACGCGTACATGGACGGCGTCCCCCCTCCCCTTGTGCTTTTGGAGGGGACTCACTCATCTCAATGGATCGCAAATACACCGCGACAACCATGCCACTGAGTTGAAAGCAAGGTGGCGCCTCACCTCAAAGAGAAACACGTCCCATATCCTGAGAGTTGTTGCAAACGGGAAGCTGTAGGCGAAGACGGTGATGAACCACTGAGACGCGTACATGGACGGCGTCCCCCCTCCCCTTGTGCTTTTGGAGGGGACTCACTCATCTCAATGGATCGCAAATACACCGCGACAACCATGCCACTGAGTTGAAAGCAAGGTGGCGCCTCACCTCAAAGAGAAACACGTCCCATATCCTGAGAGTTGTTGCAAACGGGAAGCTGTAGGCGAAGACGGTGATGAACCACTGAGACGCGTACATGGACGGCGTCCCCCCTCCCCTTGTGCTTTTGGAGGGGACTCACTCATCTCAATGGATCGCAAATACACCGCGACAACCATGTCACTGAGTTGAAAGCAAGGTGGCGCCTCACCTCAAAGAGAAACACGTCCCATATCCTGAGAGTTGTTGCAAACGGGAAGCTGTAGGCGAAGACGGTGATGAACCACTGAGACGCGTACATGGACGGCGTCCCCCCTCCCCTTGTGCTTTTGGAGGGGACTCACTCATCTCAATGGATCGCAAATACACCGCGACAACCATGCCACTGAGTTGAAAGCAAGGTGGCGCCTCACCTCAAAGAGAAACACGTCCCATATCCTGAGAGTTGTTGCAAACGGGAAGCTGTAGGCGAAGACGGTGATGAACCACTGAGACGCGTACATGGACGGCGTCCCCCCTCCCCTTGTGCTTTTGGAGGGGACTCACTCATCTCAATGGATCGCAAATACACCGCGACAACCATGCCACTGAGTTGAAAGCAAGGTGGCGCCTCACCTCAAAGAGAAACACGTCCCATATCCTGAGAGTTGTTGCAAACGGGAAGCTGTAGGCGAAGACGGTGATGAACCACTGAGACGCGTACATGGACGGCGTCCCCCCTCCCCTTGTGCTTTTGGAGGGGACTCACTCATCTCAATGGATCGCAAATACACCGCGACAACCATGCCACTGAGTTGAAAGCAAGGTGGCGCCTCACCTCAAAGAGAAACACGTCCCATATCCTGAGAGTTGTTGCAAACGGGAAGCTGTAGGCGAAGACGGTGATGAACCACTGAGACGCGTACATGGACGGCGTCCCCCCTCCCCTTGTGCTTTTGGAGGGGACTCACTCATCTCAATGGATCGCAAATACACCGCGACAACCATGCCACTGAGTTGAAAGCAAGGTGGCGCCTCACCTCAAAGAGAAACACGTCCCATATCCTGAGAGTTGTTGCAAACGGGAAGCTGTAGGCGAAGACGGTGATGAACCACTGAGACGCGTACATGGACGGCGTCCCCCCTCCCCTTGTGCTTTTGGAGGGGACTCACTCATCTCAATGGATCGCAAATACACCGCGACAACCATGCCACTGAGTTGAAAGCAAGGTGGCGCCTCACCTCAAAGAGAAACACGTCCCATATCCTGAGAGTTGTTGCAAACGGGAAGCTGTAGGCGAAGACGGTGATGAACCACTGAGACGCGTACATGGACGGCGTCCCCCCTCCCCTTGTGCTTTTGCAGGGGACTCACTCATCTCAATGGATCGCAAATACACCGCGACAACCATGCCACTGAGTTGAAAGCAAGGTGGCGCCTCACCTCAAAGAGAAACACGTCCCATATCCTGAGAGTTGTTGCAAACGGGAAGCTGTAGGCGAAGACGGTGATGAACCACTGAGACGCGTACATGGACGGCGTCCCCCCTCCCCTTGTGCTTTTGGAGGGGACTCACTCATCTCAATGGATCGCAAATACACCGCGACAACCATGCCACTGAGTTGAAAGCAAGGTGGCGCCTCACCTCAAAGAGAAACACGTCCCATATCCTGAGAGTTGTTGCAAACGGGAAGCTGTAGGCGAAGACGGTGATGAACCACTGAGACGCGTACATGGACGGCGTCCCCCCTCCCCTTGTGCTTTTGGAGGGGACTCACTCATCTCAATGGATCGCAAATACACCGCGACAACCATGCCACTGAGTTGAAAGCAAGGTGGCGCCTCACCTCAAAGAGAAACACGTCCCATATCCTGAGAGTTGTTGCAAACGGGAAGCTGTAGGCGAAGACGGTGATGAACCACTGAGACGCGTACATGGACGGCGTCCCCCCTCCCCTTGTGCTTTTGGAGGGGACTCACTCATCTCAATGGATCGCAAATACACCGCGACAACCATGCCACTGAGTTGAAAGCAAGGTGGCGCCTCACCTCAAAGAGAAACACGTCCCATATCCTGAGAGTTGTTGCAAACGGGAAGCTGTAGGCGAAGACGGTGATGAACCACTGAGACGCGTACATGGACGGCGTCCCCCCTCCCCTTGTGCTTTTGGAGGGGACTCACTCATCTCAATGGATCGCAAATACACCGCGACAACCATGCCACTGAGTTGAAAGCAAGGTGGCGCCTCACCTCAAAGAGAAACACGTCCCATATCCTGAGAGTTGTTGCAAACGGGAAGCTGTAGGCGAAGACGGTGATGAACCACTGAGACGCGTACATGGACGGCGTCCCCCCTCCCCTTGTGCTTTTGGAGGGGACTCACTCATCTCAATGGATCGCAAATACACCGCGACAACCATGCCACTGAGTTGAAAGCAAGGTGGCGCCTCACCTCAAAGAGAAACACGTCCCATATCCTGAGAGTTGTTGCAAACGGGAAGCTGTAGGCGAAGACGGTGATGAACCACTGAGACGCGTACATGGACGGCGTCCCCCCTCCCCTTGTGCTTTTGGAGGGGACTCACTCATCTCAATGGATCGCAAATACACCGCGACAACCATGCCACTGAGTTGAAAGCAAGGTGGCGCCTCACCTCAAAGAGAAACACGTCCCATATCCTGAGAGTTGTTGCAAACGGGAAGCTGTAGGCGAAGACGGTGATGAACCACTGAGACGCGTACATGGACGGCGTCCCCCCTCCCCTTGTGCTTTTGGAGGGGACTCACTCATCTCAATGGATCGCAAATACACCGCGACAACCATGCCACTGAGTTGAAAGCAAGGTGGCGCCTCACCTCAAAGAGAAACACGTCCCATATCCTGAGAGTTGTTGCAAACGGGAAGCTGTAGGCGAAGACGGTGATGAACCACTGAGACGCGTACATGGACGGCGTCCCCCCTCCCCTTGTGCTTTTGGAGGGGACTCACTCATCTCAATGGATCGCAAATACACCGCGACAACCATGCCACTGAGTTGAAAGCAAGGTGGCGCCTCACCTCAAAGAGAAACACGTCCCATATCCTGAGAGTTGTTGCAAACGGGAAGCTGTAGGCGAAGACGGTGATGAACCACTGAGACGCGTACATGGACGGCGTCCCCCCTCCCCTTGTGCTTTTGGAGGGGACTCACTCATCTCAATGGATCGCAAATACACCGCGACAACCATGCCACTGAGTTGAAAGCAAGGTGGCGCCTCACCTCAAAGAGAAACACGTCCCATATCCTGAGAGTTGTTGCAAACGGGAAGCTGTAGGCGAAGACGGTGATGAACCACTGAGACGCGTACATGGACGGCGTCCCCCCTCCCCTTGTGCTTTTGGAGGGGACTCACTCATCTCAATGGATCGCAAATACACCGCGACAACCATGCCACTGAGTTGAAAGCAAGGTGGCGCCTCACCTCAAAGAGAAACACGTCCCATATCCTGAGAGTTGTTGCAAACGGGAAGCTGTAGGCGAAGACGGTGATGAACCACTGAGACGCGTACATGGACGGCGTCCCCCCTCCCCTTGTGCTTTTGGAGGGGACTCACTCATCTCAATGGATCGCAAATACACCGCGACAACCATGCCACTGAGTTGAAAGCAAGGTGGCGCCTCACCTCAAAGAGAAACACGTCCCATATCCTGAGAGTTGTTGCAAACGGGAAGCTGTAGGCGAAGACGGTGATGAACCACTGAGACGCGTACATGGACGGCGTCCCCCCTCCCCTTGTGCTTTTGGAGGGGACTCACTCATCTCAATGGATCGCAAATACACCGCGACAACCATGCCACTGAGTTGAAAGCAAGGTGGCGCCTCACCTCAAAGAGAAACACGTCCCATATCCTGAGAGTTGTTGCAAACGGGAAGCTGTAGGCGAAGACGGTGATGAACCACTGAGACGCGTACATGGACGGCGTCCCCCCTCCCCTTGTGCTTTTGGAGGGGACTCACTCATCTCAATGGATCGCAAATACACCGCGACAACCATGCCACTGAGTTGAAAGCAAGGTGGCGCCTCACCTCAAAGAGAAACACGTCCCATATCCTGAGAGTTGTTGCAAACGGGAAGCTGTAGGCGAAGACGGTGATGAACCACTGAGACGCGTACATGGACGGCGTCCCCCCTCCCCTTGTGCTTTTGGAGGGGACTCACTCATCTCAATGGATCGCAAATACACCGCGACAACCATGCCACTGAGTTGAAAGCAAGGTGGCGCCTCACCTCAAAGAGAAACACGTCCCATATCCTGAGAGTTGTTGCAAACGGGAAGCTGTAGGCGAAGACGGTGATGAACCACTGAGACGCGTACATGGACGGCGTCCCCCCTCCCCTTGTGCTTTTGGAGGGGACTCACTCATCTCAATGGATCGCAAATACACCGCGACAACCATGCCACTGAGTTGAAAGCAAGGTGGCGCCTCACCTCAAAGAGAAACACGTCCCATATCCTGAGCGTTGTTGCGAAGGGGAAGCTGTAGGCGAAGACGGTGATGAACCACTGAGACGCGTACATGGATGGCGTCACCCCCTCCCCCTCCATGTGCCGTGCCAGCTGTGGCATGCACTCGTGTAAGAGGCGGTCGAACTGGAAGAGATATTGTTGGACCAGTGGTAGACCCACCTGGAGGGTGGGGGGAAGAGAGGGATCAGGGGATGAGAAGTGATGAGATAGCAGCATGAGTGCAGCGTCACTCCTTTCCCCTCCATGTGCCGTGCCAGCTGCGGCATGCACTCGTGTAAGAGGCGGTCGAACTGGAACAGGTACTGCTCCACTAGGGGTAGACCCACCTGAGAAGGAGAGAGAAGGGGAAAACGAGAGGGAGGGGTGAGAAGAGACAAGGGGTAAGGGGACGAGATAGCAGCATGTAAATACGGTCACTCCCTCCCCCTCCATGTGCCGTGCCAGATGCGGCATGCACTCGTGCAGCAGGCGGTCAAAATGGAAGAGATATTGCTGCACTAGGGGTAGACCCACCTGGGAGAAGAAAGCAGAGGGGGATAAGACACAAAATGTAAATTAAAAAGGGGATGTGATAGCAGAATGAGGAAGTGACTGGCACTAGTGCAGCAGGCGGTCAAACTGGAAGAGGTACTGCTGCACTAGCGGCAGACCCACCTGAGAAGGGGGAAGATAAGGAGGACAGGGGATCAGGCGATGAGAAGAGAAGGGGGATAATGGGATGAGGTAGCAGAGTGAAGAGAGGGCAGGCACTCGAGTCGAGGATCAGGAAAGGTGATCACACTGGAAGGGAAGAGGTACTGCTGGAGCAACGGCAGGTCCTTACGAGACGAGGAGAACTCAGAGCACTCACAAGGAAGGTTCACGGCACTTACGAGGAAGATTCCTTCGAGCGAGGTGTGGTTGGCGCCCTTCATGAGCGCAACGAGCAGCCAGAAGGCGTCCTCCTCCGCCATGTAGAGAAGCATCAGGCCCGCTATGAAGCCCATGCCCTGGTGGGGTGGAACAACGCAGAGGAGAAAAAAAAAGGTGGGCGAGAGCGCAGAGCAGAGGGGCACACTGTATGATCTACACGACACTTGAGCAGCCTGAAGGCGTCTAGCCGTTTGCAGCCGATTCTTTCTTAATCTGCAGTCACGTACCTCCCTTCCACCCACCTGCACGTATCCAATCTTCTTGTCATAGACAGAGTACGCCTTGAGAACGTTGAACAGTGCCCTCTGCCTTGGATTCTAGGCACCTCAGCCAGAGCCCTGTTGCTCGAGAATCTTTTCAGTTTATACCTGCACATACATTCTTCTTGACTTAGACAGAGTACGCCTCGAGCACGTTAAAGAGTGCTCTCTGCCCCGGGCCGTGCTTTTGCATGAAATAGACGTGCGTGGGGAAGGTGTGGTTGATGCCTCTCAGCCTCTTACCTGCACTGCACGTGCCCAATCTTCTTACCCTCTCACCTGCATGTAGCCAATCTTCTTGACTTGGACAGAGTAAGCCTTGAGCACGTTAAAGAGCGCGCTGCCCCGGGCCGTGCTTTTGCATGAAGTAGACGTGCGTGGGGAAGGTGCGGTTGATGCCGATACCTCTCTTGCCCTTACCTGCACGTATCCAATCTTCTTGTCGTAGACAGAGTAAGCCTTGAGCACGTTAAAGAGTGCTCTTTGCCCCGGGCCGTGCTTCTGCGTGAAGTATACATGCGTGGGGAAGGTGCGGTTGATGCCTCTCATCCTATTACCTGCACTGCACGTGCCCAATCTTCTTACCCTCTCACCTGCACATAGCCAATCTTCTTGTCATAAACGCTGTAAGCTTTGAGCACATTAAACAGCGCCCTCTGCCCCGGGCCGTGCTTTTGCATGAAGTAGACGTGTGTGGGGAAGGTGCGGTTGATGTCTCGTATGATGTCCATCTCGTTGTTAGATAGCTCGTACAGCAACATGTGCTGCCAATAACGGGGATGAAAGAGGCGAGCAGAAAGGGGAGAGAAAGGGAAGGGGGCATGTTGTTATAAATCGAATGATGTCCATCTCGTTGTTGGATGGCTCGTACAGCAGCATGTGCTGCCAAGCAATAACGGGGATGAGAGAGGAGCAGGAAGGGGGAAGAAGGGGATGGGATTTTCATATAGTGTCCATCTTGTTGTTGGATAGCTCGTACAGCAGCATGTGCTGCCAATAACGGGGATGAGAGGGGTGCAGGAAGGGGGGAGAAAGGAATGGGGGTTCTTCTCGTTATTGGAGCACATGCACTGAAGGACTCTCAAAACCTTCCAACCACGGCTCACCTCATACGCGCCTTCATTCATCAGCAGGAACTCCCGGCTACCAGACAAAAGCTGCCACACGATCCCGCGCAGGCAGTCCGGCACGCCTTGTCTTATCCGCTTCTTGACCTCCCGGGGGTGTTTCCTCTCGTAGAGGTTCCAATCCATGGGCCCTAGACCAATCATAGCGCGCCACCTGCGCACTTCCCTCTCCTCCCTGATTGGATTGAGAATGGAAGGGAAGACGGAAGAGACAACGAACGGGAGAGATGGCATTTGAATTGATTCAGAAATGGCAGAGGGTCGGAGAGAAGGAGGAGAGAGTGGAAGAGGGGAGAGATGATAAGCAGAGTGCAGAGAGGGGGGGATTGGGGGGTGAGAGAATTAGAGCCAGGCCATACATGCAGAAAAATTAGGATACAGACAAGAGGATGCCAGGCGCTGCGTTGCACACAGACCCAAGCCATGTGCAGCACGAGGCATCCTCTAAAAGAAGGCGATACGAAGAGGTACAGAGAAGAAGACTTTCTGTGACACCAATGCTTACTCGACGCACAGAAGCACGTCACTTGCCACACAATCATACTCTTAACTGATGCACACAGGCACAATGCTCAACAAACAATCAAGCTCGTCCTTACTTGATGAACAAAAGCCGCTCCTCCTTCTCCAACAAGCTAGCCTGCGGAGGATGCACCCCTGCCACCCCTCTCACCTCCTCCCCTCCCCCATTCCCCTCCCTCCCCTCCCCTTCCTCCGCCACAAACCCATACCGATCCACCACAGCAGGCATGTCCATAGGCTCGGTATCAAATTCCACAGCAGCAGCTTCGGTAAGAGGCCCACGTTTGTGCCACTCTATACCGTCCTTGTCTCGGTAGGTTCGGGTCGACAGTGTTGCTTCGGCTTTCTTCCCCAGAGAGGCCAGGGTCGGCGGCAGGCTCGGGTTCGCTGCTTCGGCAGCGGCTGCAATTGCGGCGGCTGTTCCGGCACGTGGTGACGATACTGGGTTGTGTTGTAAAGGGGATGAGGATTCGCGGTGGTGGTTGTGGCTGTGTTCGGAAGGCTCAGTACATTCAGTGATGGTTTCGTGCAGACCACCCATCTCGCCATCACTCATGTGCGGACTCCCCCCTCCTCCCCCCTCACTCGCATCCCCACTCCCCTCCTCACTTCCCTCACTCCCCTCCCCACTTCCCTCCTCACTCTCCTCCTCACTCTCCCCCCCACGCTTCCCACCCTCCTCTCCATCATCCACGTCAGACAGAGGGCTGCTCCCCCCTAAAGGCGACCTGCCTATTCCAGCAGGAGTGGACATAGCCCGAGGGAAACGGGCCATCACTCTCCTCCGCCCCGCGCTTGAGCTTTGCTGCATGCTCTGCTCTCCACTCTGCTCTGCGCTCTCCTCCTCGTCCTTCTCCTCGTCCTTCTCATCGTCCTTCTCTTCGCTCTGATCCACACCCTCCTCTAAGTCTAACAGTGCTGCCGCTGCAGCTCCTGCTCCTTCTCCATCCCCTTGCTGCCCAAGAGATAGAACCTCCGCACCACTAAAACCAGCACTGTCATTACCACCGACACCACCGGCACCCCCAGCACCAGCACTAACAGCACCAGAACCGGAACCAGCAGCAGAAACAGCGACAGCGGGAGCAGGAGCAGGGGGGAGCCCAGCATCTCGAGGCATGGAGAAGAGAGGGGAGCGAGGGCCCTGCTGCTGCAACCCCACAGGGAACGACTGATTCGACAGCTGTCGCCTGTGCTGCCGATTCTGCACGTGCAGGGGCGGCAGGTTGTGCGGCAGGATATGGTGTGGGTAGTACGGGGATTGCATGAGAGCAGGGTCTAGGGGCGAGGAGGCAGTAGAGGACATGGTACAGTCGATTGAAACGGTTGGGCTCGGTTCGTATCTTGCTGTTTGCCATCTCTCCCCGTCGCCTCCCCCGCTGGCTCTCCTCCAATGGGGCACGTGCGCTGCTGCTCCTCCCCCGCTGCTTCCCCGCTGCACCCGTGCTCCTCCCCTCCCTCCCCCTGCGGCTCCTGCTGCGGCTGCTGCTGCTCCTCTCTCGCCTCTTTCCCTCGCTTCTTCCTGTAACCTTCTCCTTCTGATAATAGCGCTGCCACTGCTGGCTGACCGTCTCGTCAACGCTCCTCCCTCTTCATCCTCGTCCGCTTCCTCATCTCCTCTTAAACTCTCTTCTTCTTCTTCCTCCTCCTCCTCGTCTTCTCCTTGCTCCTCTAGAGCAAAACCCGACCCCCTTTCCTCCCGATCCCCTTCCTCTTCCCCACTTCCCCCACCTCCCCCTTCTCTACTTCCGCCCCCATCTCCCCTCTCTCCGCCAACCCCCCCATTCTCGTCCCCCCTACCGCCATCCCTGTTTTCCCCAACCTCTTTTCCCAAATCCCCGTCCAAACCAGTGCGACCCCCACCAGCCCCACTGGCAGCATTACCCGCTTGCATAACCCCCCCTATAAGCACACCTTCTACAGTAACCCCACTGTACACTGCCCCATCCCCCACGCCTTCCAGTCCCCGTTTGACCTTCCTGGTTAACGGAGCACGCTTTAACGCACCAGGAACTAGCTTAGGCGGAATAGCTAATGCAGCAGCTGCAGCACGAGTAGAACTCGCCGGTCCTTTCTGAATCTCCTCTTTTCCCTCTAATCCCTTGTCTTCCCCCTCTGCTCCACCCTCCGTTCCACCCTCTGCCCCAGTCTCCCCTTGGTTTTCCTTCCCCGCTATACCTTCCCCTTCCTCTTTCCGCTGCTGTGCCATTGCAAACGCCTCAAGGCTCTTCCTTTCCCGCCCAAAACCGCACAGCGCATGATGCACCCTCCGCCTGTGCATCTCCTCCAACCAGATCGCGCCACTTGTCCTCGTCACAATAATCGCGAAATCCGACCGTCCAGATGCGCCCAACCATCCCACACGCATGCTCGCCCCTCCCACGTTATCCCCGCCCGTTCCCCCCGCGCCCCTGCTTCCCCCTCTCCCCTCTTGATGCTGCGGACGCCCCATCCACTCCCCCCACCGCAATTTGTCTCCCCCCGTTCCGCCACCCTTTCCCCCGCTCGCTCCCCCGCTCCTCCCCTCTGCTCCGCGCGCTGCGGCTGCGGCAGCTACGGCGGCTGCGGCGGCTGAATCGGTCGTGGCTTTCCCCGCGGGCATGGACATCTGCTTGAGATAGCCGCGGTGCGGGCGCAAGTGCGCGGGGGGAGCGGAAGGCGCAGCTGGTCGCGCGTGACTTGAACCGCTACTTCCCCCTTCGCTCCCCGCATCTGCTTTTTCCCGCGCCGACTCGCGCAACCCTAACGCTTTCCCCAGATTCGACATGCGCATTCCGCCTATTCCGCCCATTCCGCCGATTCCGCCCAATTTGCCGGATTTTTTCGGCCGCGGATCGCTGTGGTACCGGACAAAATCTCCGCCGTCCATTGCTTGATCGTCATCTTCGCGAGTTACGGAGGAGGCCACTCGAGGCGCACTATCCCTTGCGGTACCTATTTCACTATCTACCGTCGATTCTGGATTAGCAGGCTCCATTGACCGTTGATTTTGGATCTGCAACGCAAAATCTCCCCCAAATGACGCGCTAACGAAAAGACTTCGAAAAAAGGGAGCCGCAGTAGATTCGGCAGCGGAAGTAGCGGCCGACGAAGAACGAGGGTCAGCTACAATGGCGGGTGTTGCGGCGGCAAAAGCGCTGGCTACAGCTGCTGCTTGTGCATGGCAGGTGGAGGCGACAGGAGACCGTGACGCGAGAGAGTGTGGCGGAGGGCGATGCAGAGGCGACTCGCTGGCCATTAAAGCTCGCTGTCAGGCGAGAGAGCGACCTCCGAGCCGCGCTCCCGGCATCACCTCAGATAGCATCCGTCTGGCAGCACATTCCGCGAGCTTTTTTCGTTCGGAAAGAGTATGGCGAGGGTCGGCTATGGCGGGAAGCAAGCGGCTATTTTATCACCAGAAAATGCTTGGCGTACACTTCGTTACGAAGCTTCGATACACGCACCGTACAGAGAATGGAAATGAAAAAGGACAGAGATTACAAGCGACTAATTCTCCTTAGAGCGACGACTAACCGTCCGATGGCGACATGCGAGCTGCGCATACTCGTTGCGAAAATTCCACGACTGATAAGAACGACTTGGCAACCGCGAATGTGACCCTCCCTGTGAGACACTAAGAAACGTTAACGCGAAAATACCCGAAAGCCGCTGGTCACAAGAGAGTTATGTCTGCATTAGTAGGCGTCGGACATCCCATTATCACACTTGAAGGCGAAGAACGACAATGTAACCTGATCCTGCACACACCAGGAGAAAGGGTTGAACTTCCCCTGCCTAGCCATGGCAGAAAACAGTGCAACAGAAAGACACGAGGGGCGGCAAAATCCACGGGCGGGAAGGGTTGCGCGGGCACTTCACCTTGCGGATGTCGTTCCTTAGCTTGGATTCGCGCACTGGCGCTTCTCCTTGCGCGTGAGAAGGCCGCCACACCCGCAAGGATGCGCGCAGCCCTAGGTTTCTCTGCGTGGTACTCATTGTGTTGGCTGTTGCGAGTCGTCTGATTGGACAAAACTGTTGTGTGGTCGAAAACCTCTTTGTCAAGCAAAATCAGTGTACACATTGAGCTGAAAACAATATTCGCAAGAAAGTGAGTTTGTAAAGAGTATAAATCCACGACCACTTGTCTCAATCACACCAAACAGGCTATCGAGACAAAAACGACAAAGGGCATGAATGAAACAATGGTGGAGTGTGTGTGGGCGATGTCAGCTTTAGCGAAGACCCTCAGGCGACAGCTGTTTCGGCTTGCATCCGACAAAGAGCATGAGCCAGGGGGGACAGTTGACGCTCGTGTTCTGCTCAACAAACTTCGCTGCAAAATGTGCGGTTAAAAAAATCCCAATATACCAGCCTAAGTCAGCGAAATGTTGTGGGTACAATATTCACAATTTTAACTTGGTCAATGATGACGTTTTATAGCTCCTGCTAGTAGGCACTATAACAGAAACCCTCCTATAGAGAGCAACTTCAAACATGAACTCTAATTCAAATCCTGTAGACTAGGTACTTATTCTCAATGTCACTGGCAAGCGCTCGGCTTGATTCCTGGAAGTGGAGCATTTAGCTGCCAAAACCAACACTCAAGCATCTTAGTACCACCTTCTCATCTCATGTCACACCTGGCAGATCTGGCCAACTGATATCCATTTGGTGTGCCCCCATCCGCTGGCCCACAATTTGGGCTTTGAATTGAAACCCCATTTTTGCGCCAGCTTGAAACCTGAAAAACTGAAACCCCATCCAGTGCCTCAGATACCAGTTCCGTCTTCCTTTCATAACTCACACTGCATACAGAGCCAAGGGTGTTGGGCTGAGAAAAGCCCTTAGGATCTTTGCAGGACTAAATTCTGAGTAGGACAATGTAATAGCGGAAGCGTCTTAATAAGAACTTATGAACCACCTTGCGTTAGTATGCGAGGGCAAAGTAGATTGATTAATAACAAAGAGATACAAGCTTTTATAAGAATACAAGGGAATATGAAGGGTTATAACTAATAACCGTTTTACCATTGCTGTTGCGGTTCGATACAGTGACGACTCGGGCAACTGCTCAATAGCGAGTCAGTTGTTTGTCCTTGCTGTCGCGCTGTACTTGTCAGGTCAAAGGTCGCTGACCTTTGACTTTCGCGTAACCTCCAGCAGTTGTTCAACCTCCGAGGGTTGACTCGTTGATGCTTCGATATGTTCTGCTTCGCTTCTGACTTGGTGTTTCGACACGACAGAGGCGCTTATGTCAGAATATTATGCTCTAGCCTGTAGTGGGGTGCTCTATAGCGAGTACAACTCTTCTAGGGTTTTGCTATTTGTATCCCCATTCTTGCTAGTGCAATCCTCTTCTTTCTTCTAAACTTTAACATGCTATCAGAGCAGGTCGATCCCCTTGGATCGATCCTGTGGGTGGGCTCACCACCTTGTTGCTTCCGCTGCAACTGCTACTGCTACTCTCTGTGCCGCACGCCCCGTGGCGTGCGGCAGTTTTTCTTCCCGCCGTGCGCCCCGAGGCGCGCGGCGGTTTTCTGCCCGCCGTGCGCCCCGAGGCGCGCGGCGGTTTTCTGCCCGCCGTGCGCCCCGAGGCGCGCGACGGGTTTCTGCCCCGTCACTCGCCGCGTCGCCCCCGGGAGGCGCTGCGACGGGCGACGGGGACCCGTCGCGCCGCCCAGGGGAGCCGCGCGCGGCCCCTGCTGCCCCGTCGCGCGGCCCTGCTGCCCCGTCGCGCTGCCCAGGGGAGCCGCGCGCGGCCCCTGCTGCCCCGTCGCGCGGCCCTGCTGCCCCGTCGCGCTGCCCAGGGGAGCCGTGCGCGGCCCCTGCTGCCCCGTCCCGGACCTGCCCCGGCCCCGACCTGCCCCGGCCCCGACCTGCCCCGGCCCAACTCCCGTCGCCGCGTGTTGCCCCCCCCCCCCTACCTCCCTACCCTGTTTTTAGGGTTTGGGGGGTGGCGGTTGGGGGGTGGCGGTTGGGGGGTGGCGGGTGTGTGGCGTCGCCTGCTCCTCCTCCTCCTTCGTCTCCCACTGCTGCAGCTATCGCTGAGGGGGGTGGATGTGTGGGAGTGTACGGAGTGGTGCTAGGGGGGTGGAGTGTGAGTAGAGCTAGGGTTTGAACAGGGGGTGTGTGAAATGGGGGTGGGACAGTTGGGGGAGGTTGAATGGAGGCGGTCGTCGTGTCGTCAGCAGCAGCAGCAGTCCGGAGGCTACAATCTCCGGTAGTCGCCAGTCGCCCGTGGGTCCGTTGCTCGTCTGCCGCTACTTTTAGCCGCGGGGCCAGTTACCCCAGTAGTCCGGAGCGCTGTTCCGGTAGCCACTGAGCCAGCAGCTCGTCTGTGTGTCTGCAGCGTCAGCAGTCGCCTCCCATCTTCTCTCCCCCACAGTCTCTCCTCCTCCTCACTTGCCCTCTGTGATAGCCTCTAGCTTTGCTTATATTTGTTAACTATAAAACTGCTACCTCTTGTACTTGTGCTCAGAATGTGTGGTGACATTGTGATCCACCCTGAGCTTGTTTTCTTTTGCTTGCTCTGCTGATTACACCCCACTTTGGCTATGGGGGTGTGTCAGAATATTATGCTCTAGCCTGTAGTGGGGTGCTCTATAGCGAGTACAACTCTTCTAGGGTTTTGCTATTTGTATCCCCATTCTTGCTAGTGCAATCTTCTTCTTTCTTCTAAACTTTAACAGCTTAAATCAATTGTTTCCAACACTCCCCTTCGCTTCTGGAGTGTCGCTGCTGGTGACGTGGCTCTGTCCAGTCAGCAGCATGCAGTAGTCAAACTTCTGTTTTCCGAGTTTCTTGGTCAAGTAATCAGCTGCCATCTCGGACGTGGGACAGTAAGACAGCTCAAGTCTCCCCTTCTCGATCTCGTCCTTCACGAAGAAATATCGCAGGGCGATATGCTTCGTCCTGTTCGCGAATCCGTTTTTGTTGGCTATCCGAATTGCCGACTGGTTATCGCAAAACAGGGAGAAGCTTGGTAACTGAGCCAGCTTCGCCTCCTCCAGGAGTTCGCGAAGGTACAATCCTTCCTTGGTGGCTGAGCAGAGTGCGATATATTCTGCTTCGGCTGAGGAGAGAGCGATTAATTCATGCTTACTCGACTGCCACGAGATAGGTCCGATAGGCTCGAGGCGGTAGATGTAGCCTGTGCGCGAGCGCCTGTTGTCAGAATCTCCGGCGTGGTCGGCGTCGACGTAGCCGATTAACTTGGGCGTTGTAGTTCTGTCCTTGTAGTAGGTCAGGCCGATCGTTGGAGTGCTTACGAGGTAGTGAAGAGCGCGATCGAGTTCCGTCATGTGTTCAACTTCAGGCCTTTTGAGGTAGGTGGCGAGTTGACTTGCGGAGTATGATAGGTCCGGGCGGCAGGTGACAGCCGCAAAGAGAAGGCATCCCAGCTTCCTCTGGTAGTCGCGTATCCTGGCAGGCTTGGGTGGAGTGGAGTCTTCCTTGTGACTTCCTACCGTGTAGCGGTATGGCGTGGAGATGGTAGTTGGCGTGAGTGCGAAGCGTTTGGCGATGGTGTCGGCATATTTTGCGGCGTTGAGGTAGATCGCGCTTTCTCCTTCCTGGATGTTGAGGCCGAGGTACTGCGTGACGGTAGATGAGACTGTGAGCGTG